TGGAGTTCCCTCACCTGTCCCTCCAGGGCCTCAATCTGGGCACATGTGGGACAGGCAAGGGAACCCCCAGTCCCACATGCTACCCCCAGGCCTCAGAGGTCCCGCCAAGCAACCCCTGCAGACAGGGGGCCAGGCCACTACCAACACATCCAAGGGGCCTGTCTGGGTGGAGGCCTCACAGGAGCTGCGGGCCAGAGGCAGCAGCAGGGCAGGGGCCCTGGCTGTGCTCTGTGTCACCACCCCTATAAAAGCCCCCCTCCTCATTCACTTACCTGAAGTCTGTCAGAAGTTCCCATGTACTCCTGCCCACAAACTGGCCTGCAAACTGCTCCCCTGTTGGCAGTCCCTGTTTGCTGGATTTCTAGTTGCCTGGGAAGTCTCCTTTTATACCGTTCTGGGCCTTGGCTGACTGAGGCCCAGACAGGAATCACACAGCAGTCGGCAATCCCACAGCAATCAACACTCAACACTCACTCAGCAGTGAACACCCAGCACTCACTCCCAGCTTATCAGAGCAAACCCCAACCAGACAAACAGTCAGCTAAACCAAAGGTACAGGCAGCTGGATTACTTACATTTCCTGGGCAGGATCTAGTTTCTGACCTGGCTTCTTCCCTCCTTCCTCCCTCACTATATGTATGCTGGCTGTGTTCCTACTTCTCAGGCTGCCCACAGTCACTTTAAAGCCAGGAAAGCCTGTGTTAGCTCAGATTTCTGGGATATCTGAGAGCAAAGTGAAGACAAAGACAGCTTCTAGGAGGCTTGCTTCTCTTGCCAGGCACTGCACCTTTCAGCACCCATGAAGCCCTTCTGAAGGGCTCCTGCATTAATGATGTAGCTCCCCTACTGCCAACCTAGCACAGCCTTAGGTGTACTTTTACATTCTCCTCTCACAGGTATTTTTCCTCTGTCTCGAGGGCTATGCATATGCTAGGGAGGTTGTTGAGTACAGGGGGGTTATATCATTTGAGGTTCAAAACTGTCTTAGAAAGGATTTTGAACCACTTTTACCACCCCCCCCAAAAAAAATTAGTGGGTTTCCATCAGACAAATTAATATTATTCTAAGTCTAATTTTTTCTATTCAACTGAGCAAACAAGCCTTCCTAATTAATGTTAAATTTTCAAAATTGACTAAGTGAGTTAAAATCCCAGAATCCCATTGAAAATCAGTGGCATTTTGGCTTTCATATCACTAACAGCTTTTTTATATAGGCATTTAGGACCTGTTGAGAGTTAGGCATCTAGACATTTTAGAAAATCTTGGTAAAAACACAGCTGTATCATTAGCCACCTAAGTATCTTAAAAACCTGGTCTTTAGGTTTCCTTTAAAAAGTTTACATTCAGTCTTCTATAGCTACCTGCCTGATGGTAACTCAGAGTGGGATTCCCAATATTCCCTAGTTTAGAGAGCTATGTGGTTATGAGAAAAATAATTTACAGGTAAGGATCAATATTGCCCTACTTATGCCCTCCATACAGGAAAAGCCTTTTTTATCAGTTTTTTAATTACTGTCAGTAATTAAATTTGGGACACTTTATTTAAGGTATTTTAATGTCCACATATTTGTTCTCTCACATTCTGACTCAAATTCTTGTGTAATTTTTCTTGTAGTTTTGTGGTCAGGGCTCTTCTTGTTTACAACTCTACCAACAACATCGACTTAGAAGAGGAAGCCATCCGGGAGAAACTCATAAGCAATAATAACACCATAGGGGATGGATTAAGGCTTCAGACAGTAGATGTTAATCCAGTAGGTATGTAATGAGTCTTAAGCCTTGGTGTTCTGTGAGCTTTATTTGTTTTCTCCAAAATAAGTCCTTTCCTGTTTGATTAAATAATCCCTGCAAAATCCAATAATCCATTTCCAATTTGTACTGCAGGTGGGAATTTGGCTACATTTGGATAAAAATATACTTAAAGTCTATCATAGAAGAGTCTCTTACTTATCTGTCTAGACTGTTAAATCAGTGAGAGGTCCATACTGTTCAAGGAGCTATGCCAGTGTAAAGCAGCTGATAACCAAGCCAATACCTTCAGGACAAATACTGCAGTCTGCAGTATCCAATCATTATGTATCCATTATATACACTCACTGATTATGCGGTTGTCAATTACAGAATGGTTAATCATGTGGTATAAGGTAGACTTATAAAATAAATGATAATATACTTGATAAAACAGAGTTAAAATCTATTCTCATACTTGTGTATTGTTGTTTTGTAGAAAAATGTTTAGCTGAAGAAAACCCTCCAAATTATTTCTGGCCAGATACCAGGCCCATGGTGACCAACTTCACATTTTGCCAAGGGAGCTCCACTCAGATAGCATCAAGAATGTGGTAAGGATTCAAATACTTGGAAAACCATTCAGAAGCTGTGAGTTGTCTAAGGTAGAACTCATTCACAGTTTATTGGTTATGTACCTTGAACCACTTTAAGCCTGTGTCTTAGGCCATGTATTGATCAGTAGTATTTTAAATAAGCTTTTTTCATATTGTGAGGCAAGTAGAAACAATGTGGTTGCAGTAGAAATACATTATCAGTAATGACCTGGAAATGGCACAAAGAGCCATTGCTACATCAAGGTGTAATGAGGCCTACAGTTGTTATTTGTTCAAAGTAACTAAAACGCTTCTCACTGAACAGATCAGCTTCCTAAATAGCCTCAACTCATGACAATTATTAACCATCAGAAACAATGTTTATAAAATCAACGCAGGCACAGCGTGGTGAGTTGTATTTTAATTTGGTTTGTACATCACCAAAACTATTCCCAGCTAAATTCTTATCAAGGAATTATTACTTTTGACTGATCTTGGGACACCTCATATAGTGTAAGGAAACTCTGACATTAACAGTTTGGCAGTAATGTGTCATAGGGAATGAGGATGTTCTTGTGTAGCTTATGATGATTTTAGACATGGGTTTTTAAGGTTTCAGCTATGGTACAGGTGATTCGTAGGTGTCCATGGGTGGCCGCATCTGCATGAGAAGCTGACTGTGCAGTCGTTACTGGAGTAACCAGCATTACTGCACAGTAGCACCACCAAATGGCTTTTAGGTAACACTGACAGTACAGTAGCTCATTACTATTGCACAGTAGTGTCACGTCACACTTTGTGCCACGTGACACTACTGCGTAGTAGTAACGAGCTACTGTGCAGTCAGCATCTTGTGTAGACATGACCAGTAAGCGATTTAAACTCAGTTTCCCATCTGTCTGTAAAATGGGGATTATTCCTGCCATTCCTCCACCCTTTGTTTGTTTTGTCGTTTCAGCCTATAAATTTTTTGGAGTGGGACTGGTTCTTAATATCTATTTGTACATTATTGAATGCAATGAGTCTTTGATCTTGTTTGGGTATCTTAGTTATGCAAATAATAATAAGCATAATCTTTAATATGCTAGCCATAAGCAATAAAAACAATAGGCTTACCTGCCTACACTGCATCTATTATATGGTCTGAAAAGATCGGTCCAGATCTTTTGCTTTCTGAAAACAACATGGTAACACAAGGGTCAACCTCAAGGTTTTATGCCAGACAGGAAAACAACCAGAGTTGTATTTAACTAATTTACTTCCTCAGCCTGTTAATTTTGTATGAATACCATTACATTGTGCCTGAACAATATTTGTTTCAAAGTAGCTAGTGCAGGGGTCAAACTGTGTTGATGTATAAGCCATAAAGTCATTAGAGTTGAGACTTCTGGCCTTTACTGCCCCAGGATTGCTTGTCTTAATTGCTCACTCATGCTCTACACAAATACCTTTGATTATCAAAATAAAATAGTTTGTAGCCAAAATTATTTTATTCTTCCTTGAGTTAAACTTTTCTTGCTACTGTCTTCATTAACTCTTGCCAATAAAAAAAACAAAACAAGAATGATGTGGTTGCTCATGATTAGCTAGGAACTGGAGTCAGTGACGCAGAAGCCTCTCTGATTATATCTATATCATACCCCTTGTATGGCACAAGCTTGCTTTGCCCACCCAGTCTTCATAGCCTTGGTTTTTGGCATACTTGACAGTAGCTACCACGAACTCCCAAGGAGTGGTTTCACCAGTGTATTTCCAGGTTTGTATGTGCTACTGGAAGTGGGTGGACTAGGCATACTCGTGCCAGGAAGTGTCCCTCTTTAGACATGCTGTGGATGTGGTATATATAAACTGACGCTTTCCTACATTCATAAAAGTGGGCATTACATGCTTAACTGTTGTACTGTATCAAGACTTCTACATGGGAGCAGAAAGAAAGATATGCCTAAGATTTGTATGCATAGGACTTGCACAGCAGGAATTCATATTAATAATCCTGCTATCTGGTATAAAAATGATGGGGTATGATTAAGGGAAAAATGACAGAGGAAGTCAAAATCAATTGATATTTTTATCCCACCTCATCCAAAAGCATAGTCATATTCCCTATGAATTTTAAACCTGTCCCAGGCATGCAGGAAAGTGTTCAATATAATAATATTCTGCGCTATTAGGTCCTTCTCAAACCCCATGTCATTAGGTTTGAAAACGCTGGTAGTATGGGTTACAGTTTCAGCAGGGCTGAGGTGACTAATAGCAGATGTTGTTGATAATGCACAAAAAATTACACACCCAGTGGTAGAAAAAATGTTGGAGAGACAGTATCTACTTAGAGTGTATAAAGATACATAAATTAAAAATAAAGCTACACACATTCAAAAACAGTGCATTAAAAAAATAAGATTATTCTATTCAGCAGTCAAAAGTTAGTATCAGAGTTGAGCTTGCCTTTTGTGGATCCATCATGATACAAACTTGAATGATTTGTTTGCATGCTATTATTTCTTCTTTTTTGGACAAACGAATTCATGGAAATCCTCAACTACTGTACAGTTTTATAAAATCACTTAAAATATTTATTCTCTTCACTTGGAAATATCTCATTTGCTGTAGTATTCCTTCACTTGAGCATATTTCTTGGATTTGTCATGCTTTTTAGCTTTCTTACACAGTGTACTCTGATTATTTGCACAGGATCAAAGTTGTCGGAATATGTTTGCTCTTGAATTACTGTGTACACACATCTTACATCTATGGTAGTTCATGCCCAATATCAGTCGCATGTCATTAATTTTAATTGGGGTTGTATTGCTATCTGAATTGTAAGTTCAGTGTAACAGAATGAACAAATGTGACAAATGAACACCCAGCATTATTTTGCTTTGTTATGCTGAATTATGTAACATGTGGCAAACGAATGTATGTTCTGAAATGTTTTTCTCTTTAGCGATTTAGATCCATACAATTATACATCATATTGGAATCCACCTAATCTTAGAAACTGCACAGGTAAGTAGAATTTCTTTTATATCCAAGAGCATTCCTGCAGTCTTTGGTTCCAAAATCAATGAGCAGAAAAGATTAAGGAAAGAATAGAAGGGAAAATATGCACATCCCCTTTATTTCACATCCTGTAATTTCTCCTTCTACAAAGTAGTATAAAACATGGTGAAATTAGGGAAAAACCAAAAGAAACAGAAGGGCTTTATATAGGGGTCATCCATTCCTATATATGTTATGTTAGTTGATTACTATATTGATACAAATAACATTGAATACATTCTAATTCAAGCAGGGGGTGCTTGAGAATTTGCCTATATCCCTGTCTTCTTATGGTTTCTTTTATCTATGCCACTGCAGAAAATGCAGCTGATATAGCCAATCAGCTTCTGAATCTCACTGGTGAAGGACAGCAGCTGACCTCAGACAAAGTAAATGATGTAGTTCAGAAGCTCAAAAAAATTGTGAATGATGAAGACATTGATGAATCTTTGGGTTCCACGGTGGTGACCATTTTTTCCAATATTCTCACCAGTTCAGACAGTGTTTTGGCTGCATCATCTTCTGAGTAAGTATATATGAATTTCAGGAAGAAGATTGAGAGAGGATTTCACTACCTGTCTGGATATGAAGTCATAAAAACCTCAAGCGTTTGGTATCAAGATAGATAAGCTATCAACAATTCAGCTTAAATATTTTGCTTAAGTTTCCTGAAAGAAGTTTCTCAAATAAGTGAGATTAATCAGAGATTTGTTCTTATGGGGCATGTCTACACATGACACTACATCACCGTAACGATGCACTATGGTGATGTATGATCGGCTGGCAAAAACTATGATGGCACAGCTACATTGCCATAGTGACGTGCTCCCTTAGTATAGCACAGTGTTATGGCAATGTAGCAGCTAAAAATAACAGTATGCCGTGCAGACGGTGCAGTTCAGGCTGTTACTGCTCCATCATTTAGTACTTACAAAAGGAATACACTATACCAAGGGAGCACATACTTCCAAAAGGAATACTAAATGATGGTGCAGTAACAACAGCACCATAGGGGCACATGTAGATGTGTCCAAGATATTGCAAGACTGACATTAATTGGCTTGATAAATGTTGTTCTGGTGCTGCTTCGAGACAATTCCAAAATGAAGTTATATCACACAGTATAACTCTTAATATTATTGTAATATTATTCTAGGCTAAAGAAAGTAAAGTCAGATGTGCAGATTTCTTCCTGATGTAAATCAGCATGACTATGGTTATGCTTTCAAAGTATCTACAGCAATTTATACCTGTTGAAAATCTGGCCTAGGGAATTCAGCTATCCAGCTCCTGTTGAGTTTACAAAAATAGTGACAGAAGTGCAGTCAACACTCAGAGAAATTGTCTAAAATGAACACATTCACTTTTCTGCTGCTGTAATACAGGTGTAATTTTTTGTTTTGTTTGGTTTTCTTCTTGTCAACTTTGTTGATTTTTTTGTAATAATTTTCTTTATGTTTTTAGAGCTCTAAAAACAATTGATGCCTTAGCCTTAAAGATTCAGTTCACTGGGCCATCTATGAGTATTTCTACTCAGAATCTAGCTCTTGGAGTTTCTTCCATGAACTCAACTTCATTCAGAGGTTCTTCCTTCAGTGTTGGTTCTCAGAACAATGCTTCAGATTTTCAGGTACAGAACAAGCAGCATTAAATCCTTCTGGTGTCCAGAATTATTATTATATATGTATGTCCTAGAAGGGCATACATGTCACAATCAGAATTATATATTTGTTTTCCTCCCCCATTATTCCAAATGAATTAATTTAGTATTTCCCTAGATGGCAGGAAATCCAGGCTCAGTTTTCTTTCTGATTCTTACATATTAAAAATGTTTTGTTTGAATATTTCAAATGTGTTCCATTTGAAAATTTTTTCAGCCTCTAACAGTTTCCTGAATTGGACTCTAGGATTATATTATACTAACCAAAATACTTCATTTAACAGTCCTGCATAACTTCACTATAAACTGCCTATTAGTTTCATAGTGTGCTGGTGCTGCTTCTTGGGTTAAATGTGCTTACAGATATAAAAGAACAGCTGATGATACTGGCAACATGTATCCTATTGCTGAGAATCAGAAGTTCTTGAAAAATATTTAGCAAGAATAAGGGCTAAGGTATATTCACTAATCTACAAATATCCCCATTTCTTTATAACATGAATGAGTCAAAGGCAGTGAATTTCAGACTTCAGATTGTATGTCACTTTTGTAACTAAAATTCTACCTATAGATGGCTGAGAGAAGTTGATTGAATGTATTCCTAGGTCACCTATAGAAAATAATGAACTATGAGTGGTATTAGACACAGAGATAAATTGTATAATTTAACCTTTACATGTACATGTGCTCAGTCTTAACTTTGGTTTCTGCCTGGAATGGGGCAGAAACTATCCCACTGCTCTTTATTCATTTTATCCAATGAATAATAAATATGAAGTGAAGAAAGGCAATTAGGATCGGGGACTGAGACTCAGGGCACTTCCTTCTTTCCAAGGCAGTGTCCGTCTCACCAAGTCACCCTTGTTTTCCTCCTCCTGATCTCATATAACTTCCTCTTGTAGGTGCACAGTGGGCCATCTTCAAGAAAAAGGCTAGTGGGTGCTTTAGGAAATGCCAGGGCCATACCTGGTGGCTAATGCAATTTGTGGGGGAATGGGCAATGCAGATTTACCTCTGAGTGAGGGGCCTGGAACTTGGGTCTTCTGCTGTTGGGCTAAAAAATGGGTAGACCTTTTCCTCCAAACTCACTATTCATGGTCTTTCTGCATCTAAAGTTTTAAGATTTATCTAGCACCTTGTATGTTCCTCAGTGATCCTGCTCTACAAATGGAACCTAACACAACTGGAGTGCTGCCTTCTGAGCATGTTAATAAGGCATGTGCAGCACGAGCATGGAAATACCCATGCAGATAGATTCCAAGCTCTGCATAAGTGCCATAAATTGCAGGAAGTGCCACTTAAGTGCATAACAGTGGTCTAGGACCTAACCCTAAGTGTTTGCATTCGGTTGTATTGCAGAATAAGTCAAGTTTGCATGCACATGAAGTTCAGGACTTCATAGTTGTTGTGATATGCACTTTAGTAACCTCCAACAGTGATTTAATAGTGATGTGTATTATGAGCTGTGTTGTGAATTGTGTGTCCCCCACAGAGGTTAGTTCTTTAGTTTTAAATTTCATCTCTGAAAAATAGTGAAGAAAGCAGAGAGTTATCATAATGAACAAAGTCCTCTATTGCTATGGTATTGGAACACCACACAGTCATTAATGCATTCACCCTTGTACTACCACATGTGGTATGAAAACACTGTTAGCCTCATGTTTCTACAGGTAGAAGACTGAGGTACAGAGAGCCTAGAAGCCACATTTCTAAAGATATTTAGGCTCCTATTGGTGCAGGTAGGTATACAGTGGTATTTTATTAGGTGCCTAACTCTCACTTAAATTAACAAGACAGAGATGTCTCGGTCCTTCTGAAAAAGCCTCCTAAATAACTACTTGCATCTTAGAGCACCTAAGTACATTTAAAAATCTGGCCCTAATGACTATGTCCATGGCCACCCAAGAAGTGTGGCAGAGCAGGGTCCGTCAGTGCTCTGACCATGGAACTATACTTCCTACATTTTTGTGTGCAAATCTTCTTTGGAGGCTTATGTAGAAAGGGGCAAGCAAAATAATCCAATATGAAATCTTAATGCTGACAAATAATCAAACCTGAGGAGTTAATTCCTCGATTTGAAGCCAAAGTTATGCAAATGGTTAGCAATGCTAATCACTACAGCATAAACATCTAAACAGTTACTGCTCTAATATAAAAGAAAAGTGTTTTCTAGTATAAATTAGCCTAGGTCCAGTCCTAAATAACTTACCACTTGGGTAAAGTAGCATGACAAATGTGTGACGCTAGATAAATTAATAATAGTAATGTAAAAGACCATAAGCCTGTTAAGCATTTTTTCTACGATCTTCTGGACCTAAAATTAAATGATCAGATTTTCTGATAGTGTAAATAGGCATAGCTACATTCACTATAATGGAGTTTCAGTCATATTACACTCAGAGAATCTGGCCCATGTTTTCTCTAAATCATGCAGTGGAAAGGGCTGAAAGGGGAAAGATGCATTGTGAAGACACCTAATTGTTTATTTTATCAATGAAGTTTTATAGATGATTTCTATCAAAGAGGAGGAACTTTTATCCTCCAATATTCATCCCCCATTCATGGAAAGGGGAAAGGAAAAAATTCTGAAATTGGACCTGGGATGACCTGAATTTATAATAAGAAATACCATCTGTGGCCCGAGGACATCCAAGTATATTCAAATTTTCTTGTCCTGGAATAATTTTTTATTGCTCTATCTAACCTATCATAAGGTCCAAGCTCTGACAAGTTATTAATAATGTTCTTTTTGGAGCTTAAATTGATTTTCAGCCTTTTACATTTCCAACAGCTGACAGAATTCTTAGCATCCTCCCCATCAAAAATGTCTGCAACAGCTGTGGTCACAGTTCATAGTTTCCATGTCCATCAGAAAAGTTGTTTTCTGTCCCTGGTCGGGGAGATTCCCATTTTTAAGCCCAAAAACTTCAGCCAGCACCATGATGATATATCTCAGGCTCATCAGAATCTTAAAATTTCAAGTTACCTGTCAGACAGTTTCTCATTTTTTTTCTCTTAAAGTGGATATCAAGCAAATGTATGCACAACAGTTTGAAAAGATTCTATTTATTCTGATGCCTCTACAGTTCTTGCCAAACCTTGGACTAAGTTAATATTTGGCAATTCATTTGATTGAATTATTCCTGTAATGTGTCCATGCTTTAAAAGAAACCTACACTGAAGTATACAAAATACCAAAAGAGATGTTTTTTTCACATGCAGGGTTTTTCTTAGCTCTGCTCAAACTGTATGTTGCGATTCTTTTTCTACATGGATTTAGTGTTCTTTTCTGCCTGTCAGGAATTATCTATGAACAGGTTCAGATTTTTACAAATGGATTTGTTATTCAACTTGCTCAGCGTAGTTTATGTTAACAGATATTTAAACCTGTAGCCCCTGCCCTGGTTTTATTGCTAATTGCAACTATAATTGATCACCAGTCACATGGTTGCTTGACATAACAGATAAAAAGGAGTCTCCTTTTAAATTCATTTGTTATGTAGGCCTGTTGATTAATTGTGGGAATGCCAACAAGTAGTTTGCAACATGGCTTCAGAAGCTGTGAAAAAACCACACATATTTCTTTGCTTTATTATATGTTATTCTTTTTAAAAGTTAGATTAACATTCTTGCAAATACACCCTTGTTTTTCCAAGCATTTACTGTGGGTATATGGGAGAGACTGAAAATACCATCATTTCATTTACACGAACTTTTATGAACACTTGGTTTTCTGTGCTCAGCTACCTCTAGTTTTGAGTTTAGAGGTAGAATGTAGGGCAGGGTGGCACGTTAGAGACTAGCTGGTTAAAAGTTTAGAGGTGGATTCTATAAAAAATACTGTTCGACACAGTGAATTATGTTATGTCCCATTATCTCCTGTGTTATGTTACTACATGGTACCTAAGGGCCTTGTCACAAGGGATACTTAGTGGGCACATCTACGCGAGATGCTTAATGCACAGAAGTCGTAATTCTACTGCGAATTAGCACATTGGGCAAAACCTATGCTAATGCACAGTAGATTTAGTCTGCTGTGCATTGTCACATAAGAAGCGTTCATCTCTGCTAACGTTCAGTAGTACCAATTATTGCACATTAAGTTAGTACCTGTCATTACGGGTACTAAATGTAATGTGCTGTACGTATGGTGCATTAATGAACATGTAGATGCACCCAGTAGGTGTTAAATCTGTGCAGTATTAAAGTTAGAATGTATTCTAAGTATGGCAATGTTTCTTATGATGTCTAATATGCATAATAGGGGTGTGCAAAACAGGTCATATTCGATTTGGATTCAGCCCAAATCAGGGATAGTGATTTGATTAGTTGATTCAGATCACTATTAGATTTGGCCAAATCCGAATCTGAAGATTCAGTGCTGATTTGGAGATTCAGCGGTTCAGCCATAGACAGCTTTTAATGTTTTTTCTAAACACCTCAAGGTACCAGGCATGGCTCGTAAATGGATGAAAGTACCAGGCAAGGCTCGTGGGATGGATGGAGCACAAGGAAGGGGGGGCGTGTGCTCAGCAGCAAACCCAGAAGTGGATCAGAAGTACTTTCATTTCACATCTGGGTCTGCCAGGGAGTGTGCTGTGGGCCCCACCACACCCCCCTCCCACCTCAGCAATCGTGCACAGGGGACCCTGTGTTCCCCCCTAGAACCAGGAGGCACCAGTCCCTGAGCCGGGGGGGCCCTCCACACACTCCGCAGTGGACCTGGAAGTTCTTCTGGTCCCTTCCAGATCTGCTGTCGAGCACACTGGAGACTCCCCCGTGCTCCTGTGGGACGCTCCATCCACCCCAGCATCTCAGCATTCACGAACTGCCTGGTACCTTGAGGTATGTAGAAAAGACATTTAAAGCCGGGTCTATGTCTGAATTGTCAAATCTTTCTGATTCTATTTAGGGAGATTAAAGGGTCTCCTGATTCGATTCGGATTCAGAGATTCAGCCACTGAATCGAG